AACTCACCAGCACAGAGTCCACAGCTGGGAAGTCCTTGCTCCAGCTCACCTCCTCACCAGAGAGCTGCTTCCACACGAAACCAGGCAGAGCCAGGACCTGTGAGACAGATACTACTGTCTTCTCACCCTGAGCTGCCCAGGTTTGGCTGGCTCTTCTTCCTTCCAAGAGCCAGGATTAATCTGGTGGGGTGCAGAATAGGCTACTCACCAGGAACTCCTTACCCCGAAGAGCAGCCCCCATCAGCTGTCCGATCCACTCGTACTTGGCAAAGTCTCGGCAGGAGGGGTTGGGCACATACATATCCCGGGCCTCACCCGTGCCATTGCCCTGTCCCCGAGACAGAGCTGTCAGCACGGCATGGGATGGACCCTACTTTGTTGCCCCAGGTGACTCAGAGACTTCCCTGAACACCTTCCACTGGGGGCCCTGAATGATCCCTCTGAATATACAATGGCTCCTCCTTCCCTGCCTGTCCAGAGGCTGCCCCAGGCAACTCAGTCTCTCCTATGCCCACTCTCTAGCTTAGCCCGGTACCTGGGAGGTTCGCAGAGACAGAAGAGCAGAAACTATTTGGGAGACATGGATGGGAGATTACCTGGTTGGCCGTTCGGACAAAGAAGGGCAGAGGCACAGGGGTGTCCGCCGAGCTAGGGCACAGTTCTTCTGACATGTCTGCCAGGCTATCCCGGAAACCACCCCCTGAAATGACAGACAGATGCCCTCAGCTGGGGCACACAAGAGCCTCAGCCCCCATAATGGGGTAATAAGCAAGTCCCCTATCTGGTTAGCTGGTGATCTCAGAAGGCTCTACCACTCGAAGTAGGGCTGGACCCTTGTTATCGTCCCTCAGGGCCTCACCTTGGTCAATGATGCCTTCTGCAATGAATTTACACTCCCACCACTGGTCATAGCGCATGGGCCACCTGTAAGTAGGAGTGGGTCTCTGTCACCACACTGGGCCAAGGCTCAGAATGATGCACCTGCCCAGAGTCCACCCAGGAGTAGGGGCTACAGAGGGGTAATGGTGAGAGGACCAGAGGCAGTGCGTGGGTATACACGTGTACATGTATACCCTGAGCAGGTCCCTCGCCCCCATGCCATACCTGTAGTCCAGGGGCTTTTCATACTTGTCAGAGGGCTTGAGGCCTTCATAAACCTGGGGGCAGGGGAAAGGGGAGGGAGTTATGGGAAAGTCTGTGTCAAGACCTGGCCCAACTCTTGCCCAAAGACCTTGCTCAGGTCCCTGTTGGCCCAGCCCCCTAGGCCCCTTACTGACCCTCCCTCAGTCTGACCCCAGGTGGTCCAAACCTGGGTGAAGACAGCGTTCTTGCAGGCAGGGTCCCTTAAGGGGCAGGCGCGGTGTTCCATGGCGAGGCGCCGGTTGATGTATAGGCGTGGCATGAAGCTGGGCTTGCTGCTCTCTGAGTCACGCAGGCACTGGGCCACCAGGCCTGGCCGCTGGCGTGACAGCAGCAGGAACTGCTTCACTTGCTGGGGAGGAGAGGTGGCCAGACCAGGACCAGCAGGCAGTCAGCCTCTGTCCAGGCCCTGGAACCTTTCTCTATTCTTGGACCTAATCCCAGGGTTCCAGTTCTAGCCTAGTCCATCCCTGGTCCTTGCTTCCAGTCTCTCCCTTAGTCTGGCCACCAGGGAGAGCTTTCTAAAACAAAAAATCCAACTTTGTCATTTCCTTACATAAAACCTTTCCAGTGGCTCCACTGACCAGGAACAAAGTCTGGCCCCAGGGCCGTCTGCTACCAGGGCCTGCTTCCTATCCACCTTCTCCCAGCCTCATCCCCATGTCATACTCACATCTACGGGCAGGCTTCTCTCATGTCATTTTGAGCTGCTGGTAACTCCCAGTGTCCACCTTTTATGCAACCTGCCCTGTCCATGCTGTAACCTCTCCTCCCCGAGCTCTGTATGTTTCACATGCTCTCTGGGGAACAGCACCCCAAACTCGAAATTTTGACTATTTGTGTCTGGCTTTCTTCCTATGTTCCCAGAGCCCAGCAAAAGCCCAGGCCTAGAGTAGGTCTAAGAACTCTCTGATGAAGAGTGAACAACTGCCTGAGCAGAAAGGGGGTGCCCAATGCCAAGACCAGCACTGCATGTGTCAGGCTCACCTTAATCTCACTGAAGGTGCCCAGTGTGTGGTCCCAGGCAGGTACCAGGTGGTGCAGGACGCTGTCTAGGATCTTTATGAATCTGGGGGGGGTGGGTAAAGATAACTGCAGCTCAAGAGTTTAGTATGGATGCGAAACCCCCTCACTCCCCAACTCACAGGGACAGGAGAAGGCAAGGCCCAGGGACTGCTCTGCCTCTTGAAGTGGAACAGCTTACAGTATAAGACCTTGGGGGCCTCTTCCACACAGACATACAAGGCTCAGGATGGGGGACAAGGAAGGGCCTGACCGGCCCAGGGCCACAGCCACCTCTGCAGGAGAACAGCTCTGCGGTATAGCACTTCCGGATCAGTGCCTTCCAGGCGTGGATATCGCACCAGGCTGGTGGGCTGGAACAAGTCTGCATTCAGCCCTAGTTCCCGCTGTCTAGAAGACTTGATCTTGACCCCTCGAAGACGAACGTCAATCCCATCATCTGGAGGAAGTAGTTACAGTGAGACACTTACTGCGCCTGCCGCCTTTTTGGCCCTCAGACCTGAGGAAGACTCCTTAATGCTCAGCCTTTTGTTACCCCTAGCCCCTAGAAACTTGGGACCTTTGGGATCCCCTCCTATAACCTGATTCTGATTATTATATTCTTTGCTAGTTCCTGTGTCCACCACTATAGTTTGGGGATGCCTGAGGGTCCCAACTCCGTTCCTCTCCCAGGTGAGCCCAAGCACTTCTATGGCTTTAAGGCAGCCCTCTTACCCAGCACCTTCCACCCAGCTTGGGCCCCAAAGCTTCAGATCCTGGAGTTAGTTCAGCTATCACATTTACCTCAACTCCAAGCCCATTTCCTTCTCTCCACACGCACTGCCAGCTAACCCCCATCTACACACTGGGCTCCCTTTCCCTCCTTAGGGCCTTAAGCCCCACCTCGGCACTCGACGATGCGGATCTCGATGACTGGGAGGTGGACGGTCATGTCCTCCAGGACACAGACATCCCCGATCAGGGTCCTGAGAGGATGAACGTGAGGCACTTTGGAGATCCCTTGTCTTCAGGGATTGCTGGGGTCTCGCTCGAACTTTTGCTTCCAACGTGGGCCAGATCCTACTGCTTGGATCATGTCCCACCTCCCACCCCAGGCCAGTTCACTCACTCGTCAATGCTCACATCACTCAGCTTCTTCAGGTTATCCCCTTCACCCCCATAGATCACCACCCGCTTAGGCATAAAGTTGTCATCTGTGGTATCCACCGTGAGGAGTAGCTTCCTGAGGGTTAAGAGTGTGCACGTGGGTCTTTTACACTCACAGGTATGTGGCTCACCCACCCTGTCCTACTCAGAGCCCACTCACTTCACAATGGTGCCCTTTTTCATGGTAAGCCGTACCCAGTGCTGGCACTGGGACCCATCGCTCTCCCAGTAGGTGTCCGCATTGCTGTCTGTCAGGCAGGACACATTGAACTCCTCCTGGGGAGGGGCAGAGAGGTGGAATCGGTGTTTACCCCCACTCCCTGCACTGGGAGTGTGCTTTGGGCCAGGGAGCACGAGAGAAAGTACAGTGGAGCTGGGTTAGAAGCACATCTGGTATGGGTGGAGGTGTCTAGGGGTTCCTACATGACTTCCAAGATGGGGGGTTGGACTGAGTATGGCCTGTGGGGATTCAGATTTGGCCCTGGCCTAGAGGTGAGAGTTCTGGATCTAGCAAGATGTGACTACATCTTGCTTGGGGCGGGAGGAGTCCCAGCACCCACCGTGTAGGAGGAAACGTCTATGCTCTCCACATACTGCTTCACGCTACCCAGGTTCTCATCCTCCTTGCCCAGGTGGTCGTACAAGAAGTGGATCAGGTCCTCGTCGCACTCGTAGGTCCACGTCGGGGGCACATAGCTAAGCAACCCCAAGTCCCTAATTAGGTCGGGCCCAGACCTGGAGCTCCTTCCTCCCCATCCCATCCCAGCTCACTCACAGTAGCCTTTGTACAGCTTCTGTGTATGCCTCGGCCGGCTGAGGCCTTGATCCCAGGCGATGCGAGTATGTCAGGTCCACCACCTGTTCCCATCTGTGCGCACAGAATGGGGGACGGGATGTGGAGACATCAGCGAGCAGCAGGAGACCCTGCAGCCTTCTTCAGAGCTCTAGCTCCTCTAAACTGCGCCTCCAAAAGCCCCACCCCAGCTCCCTTCAGGTCCCGCCCCTTTCTGCTGTAAACCCTGCCTCCGCTCCAGATCCCACCACCCGGACTTTGCCACACTAGGGCACAGCAGTATGACAGCAAGCCCCGCCCCTCCCAGTGCAGGACCTGAGCACCGGGCGGTAGTCCACTCCAAAGAGCTGCTGCTGCCGTTGGAGGTGGTCTGGAGTGTCGATGGGTACGAGCCGGGCCCCGCCTTCTGCCGGGCGGCACACCAGCAGCCAGCCTTCGTCCAGCCCGCAGTCGCCCAGGTGTTCCGCCAGCTGCTCCTGCCGGGACGCGCCAGACAGGGACAGCCGTCAGGGAACTGCCGGCGGCAAGCCCAGCCCAGCCCACGGCAAAGGGCACCGAACGCTATGTCAGCTCAATATGGGGGAGGGGAGGGGAACAGCCAAGGGCTTCCCTGGTCCCGGGTCTTTTGCACCTTGGTCAGCTTCACCCAGAGCCCGTGGCCGTTGCACAGCTCCTCGCCCGTGGTGCGCACGCAGGCGCCGCGCCGGAGCTCGATGCTGTCGCGGGCGGCGCGGAGGGGCCCGGAGCCGGTACAGGTGGCCGGGCCCGTGGCTCCCACACGCAGCCCCGGGCCCTCCGCCTCCCACACTGGCAACAGCACGCGCGACGGTCCCGCCGGGTCCTTGTAAAGCTTGTAGAGCACCTCGCGCGGCACGAAAGCTAGCGCCGCCGGTAACGGCCGTCCAGCGCGGAGGCTCTTCGCTGCCTCCGCCAGGAAGCGCACGCGGCCCAGCAGCTGCCGCGGGGACTCTAGCGCCGCGCCCGGGCCCGGGCCCGCCATAGCTTGGTGGCCCAAGGAAGCCCAGGGGCGATCCGGCCCCAGGAGCTTCTGCCAGGAAGGCTGACTAAGCTTCCCATCACCTTCAGCCCCGCCTTCGGCCAGCCTTCACCGTAAGTTCTGGACTAAACGCCCCTCACGTTCCCGCCGTATTGTCCTGTGTACTCGAATACTTAATCCTGTTATCTGTTTCTGTGCCTCCCGCTCAGCCAACCAGACCCAAGTTCAGTAGTAGTTTCTACCTGATCAATCTACCCACTCCAAACCCCATTACATCTACCATTTAATCCCCACTGCTACTACCCCATTCAAGCCACCATCCATCCTATCTGGCCCGGAAAGTTGCAACAGCTATTTCTCAGATCCTCCGGCCTTCTGTTTTGCCTCCGTGCCCCCAGTGAGTCACACTACAACCAGAAGAATCTTTAAAAATCTGTTAGATATCCTCTCAGGCTCCCCATCCTAGGGGCAGTGTGACTAAAACGTTTCGGAAAATAACCCCCTCCCCAGCTCGGCTGCTGACAGGAGTCTTGAGTCATTTAGGCTTGATCCTGGTGGTTACTCCTAATCCCAGGACACTGGTGATCATTATCCAGTTTCTCCCAGTAATTCTGAACCAAACGAGAGGAAAGGCCGATGTGGTTAGGGAGGAGGCAAAAAAACATGGACAGAAGCTGCTGGTGAAGTATAATCATGGAGGAAAAGGCAACTTGGTCCCGCCCCGTTTCTTTTAAAAGTTTACTGAGATATAACTCACATCATATAATTCACCCATTTAAAGTGTACTACTCACTGGTTTTTGATATATTACATTAATTTAAAAAATAGTGGAAAATATATATAACAAAATTTGCAATCTTAACCGTTTTTTAAATGTATAATTATCTATTTCCAATACTTTTCATCACCCCAAACAAGAAACTCTGTACCATTTAAGCAATGACCCCTCATTGCCCCCACTCCCCAGTTCCTGGTAAACTCTACTCTACTTTCTGCCTCTGAATTTGCCTATTATAGATATTTCATATAAGTGGAACCATACAGTATTTGTCCTTTTGTGTCTGTCTTATTTAACTTAGCATGTTACAACAATGTTGTAGCATGTATCAGAATAATTTATTTTTATGGCTGAGTAATATTCCATTGTGTATATATATACACACACACACACACCACTACATTTTGTTTATCCGTTCGTTGATGGACACTTGGGTGGAAAGTTTGTTTTGATATAGTTTTCAAATAATTGAAGTTATCAAGAAAGAAAGAAATGATCCCATGTAATTATGACAGTTTTCCATTTTTTTCTCCTTAATAAGTTGGGAACACGTGCCTCTCTTCCCTTCTCTCCAAGCTATTTGTATGCTATTACACTACTACAAGATAAAGTGAACAAATGCGCTTAACAAAGGCCTGCATGACCTGGACTCTGTACACAGCTCCAGCCTCTTTAATTCCACCAGCTTGATGTTGTTTCCCATTAAGCCATTTGCTCTTTTTCGTCATCTCTTTACACATGCCGTTCCCTCTGCTTGGAATACCCCACTGCTTTCCCCAGTTAAATGGAGCCCTTGCTACTTGCTTCTAGCTCTTTCCCTTTAAAACATTTACTATTGAGGGCTTCCCTGGTGGCGCAGTGGTTGAGAGCTGCCTGCCGATGCAGGGGACATAGGTTCGTGCCTCGGTCTGGGAAGATCCCACATGCCGCGGAGCGGCTGGGCCCGTAAGCCAGGGACGCTGAACCTGCGCGTCCGGAGCCTGTGCTCCGCAACGGGAGAGTCCCCAACAGTGAGAGGCCCGCGTACCGCAAAAAACAAAACAAAACAAAAAACATTTACTATTGTGATTGCTGACTTCTCTGTATCCGCATCAGTCTGTAGCTCCTTAAAGGAAGGAAATGTCTTGTTCTTCACTGTAATCTCTGCACCTATTGTAGTGCCCGCCTCTTTCTAGGTAATATAAATATTTAATTATTTCAGTTCCCTGTACAACTTGGTTCCATAATTCACCATATGCCTGGTTGGGCCAGGCATAAAATTGTTAAAATCGTGAAGAGTGGGAGTGAAAGTGAGACCTGGGACGAGTCTTCCGGGATTCCCAGGCCGTCAGAGGAGAGCAAATTTCTCACGCCACGTGAAGTATAGTTACAGCGAAGTTCTTTTGTGGGGGGGAGGGGGAGGGAGGTGTTTGTTGTTGCGTCGCTACAGAGGACTTTACGGTGAAGAGACCTGGGGGTCCTACGGGCAGCAGCCGGGGCAGCCCGGGAGCTGTTTCTGGAGTCTGATCATGTGACTTTCAACATGGCGACAGCCTTGGCTCATTACAGGAAGGGGCGGAGCCTGGGCAGGGGGCAGGCTCAGAATTAGGCTACGGCTGGGGCTGTGCTCGCGTTTACTGACAACTTATCATGGAGGCGAACGAGTGTGGGTGAGTTCTCTGTGCCACCACGCAGTGTGGCCATACGGGCTTCTGACCTGAGTCTTTCAGCTCAGGAATCTGTCCCTATACCCCTCTTCCCCAGCCCCGGAGAACCCAAGTCTCTGGAATCCCAAATCCTCCAACCATGGATTCCTGAGATGTTCATCCTAGGGACCGCCTAGCTGGACTGCGTACCCCAGACCTTTATTTAGGAGATGCCCTCTGGACTTCCTAATCCTCAACTAAGATCCCTTTTTCGGACTGTCGTCTCTGATCCCCCCATGACCATCCCCCAGCCTGGAGATCTTCCAGCCCCAAAACCAGCCCACTGGTACCCTTGTTCCTGAGATTTTTTGGTCCAAAGACCCCCCAAACTCTCCTAATTGGACTTTCGTCCCCTTCCCCGCCCCCCCCGCACACACACTCTCTCCCAGTCCCTCCAGTGGCTTTGAGCCTGGGGAAGCTGCGACTATGTGTAGGGTAGAGGCCCCGGCACCGGCCCTTCTAGTCCTGTACACCACCTGATAGAGGGGAGGCGGAATCGGCGGGGAGTCACAGCTTGGTAGCTGGTCTGGAGAAGACAGATAGCTGTGCTGGACTGTATCCGCCTTTAGAACCCGAGCCCTGCCCAACCCCCAGCCTGGTTTACTGACACCTACCCTACCCGCTCCTGATCTCCAGACCTCAGGGTTTTCCGGAGCTGAAGAATGACACCTTCCTGCGAGCAGCCTGGGGAGAAGAAACAGACTACACTCCTGTTTGGTGCATGCGGCAGGCAGGCCGCTACTTACCAGGTCAGGGTCAGGGCCTCGGAGTCTAGGTAAAATTCTGGAGGGTGAAAAGTTTTTGAGGGGCAGAGGAGGGCTCTGGAGGTTCCTCAAGGCTGAGCCCTGCTTTCCCTTTTTTGTCTGCAGAGTTTAGGGAAACTCGGGCTGCCCAGGACTTTTTCAGCACCTGTCGCTCCCCAGAGACCTGCTGTGAACTTACTCTGCAGGTGAGGGGTCCACAAAAGAGGGAGAGATTTATGCTATCAGCTCGCCACCTAGCAATCTGTCTTCTGTTCCCTATAGCCACTGCGTCGCTTCCCTCTGGATGCTGCCATCATCTTCTCCGACATCCTTGTTGTACCCCAGGTACCTGCTCAAATCTGATTCTTGAATGGGTAACAAAGGGAAAAGACAGTCAAGGCTCAAGATAAGCACTTATCCTTATGGGACAGAGGGGAAAACAGGCTGGAAGAGATGGAGTTTGGCTGAGTTTTATTCTCCTTTTCCCCCTTCTTGGCATGGGTTGAACAGATCTCCTCCTCCTGGAGTTACAGGTTGGGAACCTGGACGATTTCTCCCCCACCAGGCACTGGGCATGGAGGTGACCATGGTGCCTGGCAAAGGGCCCAGCTTCCCAGAGCCATTAAGAGAAGAGCAGGATTTACAGCGCCTCCGGGATCCAACAACAGTGGCCTCTGAGCTGGGCTATGTGTTCCAGGCCATCACCCTCACTCGACAACGTCTGGCTGGGCGTGTGCCACTGATTGGCTTTGCTGGTGCCCCGGTAATATGGAACAGGGCAGGGACTTGGGCTTGGAGAAATTACTCTGGCAGGTATGGGTGCAGACAAGGGAAGGAAGTGTCTATCTGGCTTCTGCCTTTTGCAGTGGACTCTCATGACATATATGGTTGAGGGTGGCGGCTCAAGCACCATGGCTCAGGCCAAACGCTGGCTTTACCAGAGACCGCAGGCCAGTCACCAGCTGCTTCGCATCCTCACTGATGCTCTCGTCCCATATCTGGTGGGACAAGTGGCTGCTGGTGCCCAGGTAAGTCCTGAGGGAGAGACAAATAGGCTGGGGTTTCGTCTTTATTTATTTTTGGCTGCGTTGGGTTTTCGTTGCTGCGTGCGGGCTTTCTCTAGTTGTGGCGAGCGGGGGCTACTCTTTGTTGCGGTGCCTGGGCTTCTCATTGTGGTGGCTTCTTTTGTTGCAGAGCACGGGCTCTAGGCGCGTGGGCTTCAGTAGTTGTGGCACACAGGCTCAGTAGTTGCGGCTCGCGGGCTCTAGAGCACAGGCTCAGTAGTTGTGGTGCACGGGCTTAGTTGCTCCGCGGCATGTGGGATCTTCCCAGACCAGGGCTCAAACCCGTGTCTCCTGTATTGGCAGGCGGATTCTTAACCACTGCACCACCAGGGAAGCCCTGGGGTTTAGTCTTTCAGGACCAGAAACAATACAGTTCCTTATACCTGTGAGGGTAGGTGTCTCAATACCAGGCACAAAAGAAGCTTGGCATGAAATGATCTGGCTGGAGCAGCTAAGCCCAGACACTGGCAGGGGGGCTTAATGCTCTGTGTATTCAAAGACCAAACCTAGCACTGGGATCTGGAGAAGGCAGTTCCTTTTTGACTGGAACTGGGCTTATAGGCTTAGGTAGTCTCAGGGGTTGAAGTCACTTGGGGAAAACTGAAGGAAAACTGAGGCACATTCTGTATGTGGGGCCCGAGATACTTCCTCTTTGTGTGTTATGCATTTCTTTTCTAACTGTAGGCATTGCAGCTCTTTGAGTCCCATGCAGGGCATCTTGGCCCACAACTCTTCAGTAAGTTTGCACTGCCGTACATCCGTGATGTGGCCAAGCGAGTGAAAGCCGGGCTGCAGGAGGCAGGCCTGGCACCAGTGCCCATGGTAAGGATGGGGATCAGATGAGTGAAGGTGGGCCCGTGGAACTATCAGGTTAAGTCCTGCATGGACCGAAGTGACCACTGGAGGGCAGAAGCACAGCTGAGCTACATTAGGAGGCATAGCAAAGCCCTCGGCAGCCTGAGATTTGCCCTTTCCCCCAGATCATCTTTGCTAAGGATGGACATTTTGCCCTGGAGGAGCTGGCCCAGGCTGGCTACGAGGTGGTTGGGCTTGACTGGACAGTGGCCCCAGAGAAAGCCCGGTGAGTGATGGAAGGTGCGGTGGAGGGGATGTAACTGCCATATGTGCAGTCACCAGAACAGGGCACTGACTCTACTTCCAGGGACTGCGTGGGAAAGACGGTGACCCTGCAGGGCAACCTGGACCCCTGTGCCTTATATGCATCTGAGGTAACAGCCAGGTCCCTGTGTGTGTCTGTGTTTGTTTCTGTGCGCTCCCATGGTTCTGGATATGGTTGTGTTTATTACTATGTGTGTGCTTCTATTATCTGTTTACCCCTCCCCTCTACTCCACTCATACCATGTAAACTCTAGGAAGGCAGGAGTTTCTTCTCATTGATTTTGTTCATTTGTGTTTTCTTAGCGCCTGGCCCATACTAGGGCCAATAACTAGGGCCAATAACCAAAAACCGATAAAGTTTTCTTAGCGCCTGGCCCATACTAGGGCCAATAACTAGGGCCAATAACCAAAAACCGATAAAGTTTTTTGAATGACTGTATGAGTAACACTGAGTAGAAGCATGCCTACATGTATGTGTGTCACTATTATGTATAGGGAGGACAGAGGTGTGCTGGCCCCCTGTAGCCAGTGCCCTGTTGGTCCCCCCAGGAGGAGATTGGGCAGTTGGTGCAGGAGATGCTGAATGACTTTGGGCCGCGGCGCTACATTGCCAACCTGGGCCACGGACTTTACCCTGACATGGACCCAGAACATGTGGGCGCCTTTGTGGATGCTGTGCACAAACACTCACGCCTGCTTCGACAGAATTGAGCATAATCCTTTTATCTGAAGTACCACTAACACAGATGATTGTTTCCAGGAGAATAAAAGTTCCAGAGCTGGAGTCTTGCGTGTGGTTTTGTTTGTGAAAGATCTGTGCCCTTATCCTCAGTTCCTTCTTAGCCTCTTCCTTCCCTGGGCCTCTTTCTGCATCCTCTCCCACAAGTCATGGGACCTCGGGTATCAGTGAATATGTATGTAGGACTTAATGTCAGGACCTTTACCACCATTTTGCTCTCAGATCTCCAAGCCCCAGAGCTACATGGGGCTGTGCAGATCTTCCTAGGAGCTAGAGCTGTGACATTTGCAGGGAAATGGGGTCCCTATAGCATGTGAGGCCAAATTGACAGGGCTTTGCGTCTGGGGAGGGAAGGGTGTATAGACCAGAGTGGGACACAGGGCCAGTTGCCCTGCATTCTTTCTTTTCTGCGCATACCCTCTAATTTTCTCAGTATCTTGCTGTTTCCGCTTTTCATGGTGGTACCTACTTCCTGGGATCAGGCTCTGATAGGCCTGTGAGCTCTGGAGAGGGGTGTGGTGCAGTAGGAAATTCTTCATTTGTCATTCCACATCTTAGACCATTAGGAACCCACTGTGCTATATAGCCTAACCAGCTCCCTGTCCCAGCCAGGTGATGGAGAAGAGAGAAGGGCCCCATTTATTGAAAGAACACAATTTCTGATTTTAGAAAAATGATCTTTTCTGTGATCCAGGATTTATTCATAGAAAAGCACTGTGAGTTCACACACTTGCTAAAAAACGGCAATTGTGATACAGAAATGGGAGTGGCGTTGTCTTTTTTTTTTTTTAAACCAACCTATTGGGCTGAGAGGTTGTTGGGCCCGTAGCTGGACGGTGAGACTTTGGTAGCCACAAACAGCAAATGCAACTTACTGGTTAGTGTGGAGAAAAAAAAAGTGACACAAACAGTTTGTCAAAGACAGGAAAGTAAAGCAGACAAAGAGGTCCTTGGTTCACACTCTAACTATACCACCCCTTCCCTGTCACACCCCACCCCCTACTGGGGAACTAAAACATGGAACAGTAACCACCAAGACACTGGCATCTAAATGACTCTTCCGAATGCCTGTGCTACCTCCTATTACAATTCCAGGCTGAGCAGAGGGGTCAGTAAGGTAGCAGGAACATGATATGCTGTGGAGGTCAGCCAGGGCTAAGACAGGGGTTGCCCACTAGAGCTAGAAACTAGTCAGAAAGGAAAAGGCCAAATGCATTCCAGCCGCAGCCTCCAAACCAATGACCAATGGGACTGTGACAGAAGCAGGCAGAGGAAGCTTGAGGTAGAAAGGCAGGGGAAGAAACAAAGTACAGGGTAAGAAGAGAAATGTGGCACTGAAGGAGCCACTCAGGGCAGAGGGAGACTAGTGCTTAGAAGCTTGTTTGGTGAGACAATGGTGAATAAAGGAGGCCCAGAGATGAGGAACATGTTTAGCTGGTGAGAGAATAAGAGAAATGGGGATGAGAGATCTGGCAAAAAGAGAAGGGACACATTCAGGCAGATCCTCAAACATGAATTCACAGACAAACCTACATGTGGAAATATACACAGTTACACACAGACACGGACATGTTTATACACATGCACTTACGTGTGCCCAGATACACAAACACTACACATGCATTGACAAACATCAACACACACACACACACAGATATGTATTTTTTATGTTCACAAATGTGTATACCCTCACACAGAAACCCACCATCCAGTACACAGACATGTCTTTACACAGACACAGACCTGACACAGATACACATTATACATGTGCACATGCAGGCACGCACAGATATATCTATGCGCACAGATGCACGTACGTAAGCCATCCAGATCCACACACACACAAGTGTAATTAGAGATGAAACCAGATGCTGTCTAACACAAAGGTGACCAGAGAAGATGAACATTATAAGCCCAGTGGCCTCCCAGACCTTCACCTTCTCCCTGCCCTTGTTTCTCAGGAGCTCGGCAGGCTCCCAGAGAGAGAGGCTGTGTGAGGCAGGAGCAAGAGCTTCTGTGTCCTCATGGCTTCGTGAGGTGAAAGTCTAAGTCAAGACCGGGCCCTGCCCCTCACCCATCACCGGGCTGTCAATGCCCATCTGCAGGCCGGGGTTTCTGCATAGACTAGACTTGGGGTTTACTCTAATGGCCATTTTTCTCTCTGCCACCCCCACTCTTCCACTGCCAATAGCATATCCTCTGCAAGGGAAACCTGAGAAACGGTTGTGAATCTCCTCAGAAAACAAGCCTATCTTCCCACCCACAGCTACCCATCAGATTAGAACCAGAATTATAAATAGTTACAATTTTACAATGTAATTGGCAACACATATACTATAGTATTTACAGTACCATAAATGCTTCTGTTTCTCTGGTTAAGCAATCCCTGAGACGGAACAGTGTTCTGTGTTTGCCAAGGAGAGAGGGCCAATGCCCAGGACACGCAGGATAGCGGGGCGTGAGGTGGCATGTGTGGGGTTTCTGATCGGTCTGCAGGGCCCAGCTCCTCCAGGAACAGTGGGCTGTTGTGAGAACCTTGACAAGGCATGTTGGCTAGAGTTGGACTCTCCCCATGCTTAGCCCTGTGGTCCTCTGGCTTCAGCCACAGGTGCTCAGAGTCCTCTCAGGGTGGACAAATGTTTGTGTCCTTGGCCTGACCGGATGATACCTGGGAGTGCAGGATGCCCCAGCAGCGAGCTATCTGCTCTCTCAGCCAAAGCGCTCTCGCACCAGCAGCATCAGCTTCTTCTTGCCTTTGTAGATTTGTTTCAGGTTGTCGATGAACTGGGCAAACTGCAGGTGGCCATCCTGCGGCAGCAGGAAGGTCTCCCGGGCCTTGCTCAGAAACTCAATGAACTCTCCGTAGTGGCGAGGGCTGATGTGTGTCAGGCGCGAGTGTGTGGTGTTGATATAGGCGTTGATGGTGGCATCCAGCAGCTGGCGCAGGGGAGCTTTGTCGGTGGACATAAGCTTTCCAGAGCTGCGGCGGCCTGGGATGCCGGCCAGGCCAGGTGCAGTGACCGTGCAGCGCCGCAGGATGTCTGAAAGCACTGTGGCACAGTGCACACTCTTCACCACCAGGGGAATCAGGGCCGCCAGCTCATTCTTGCCCAGGGAGTGGCTGAGGGCACACGCCCAGAGCACATCGTTGATGGCCGGGTGGGTGTCCTGGTTGTAGGCCAGGTTGAGATGGCTCATGGCCAGTGAGGCCAGCTTGAAGGCACGTAGCGGGTAGCCACGGAGCTCCATGTAGCGGGCGATGGTGAACAGCTGTGAGTGAGTCATGCCGCCAGCAGCAGCATCAATGGCAATCTGGTAGGCGGCTTCAAAGGCGATGTGGTCCTTCTCACAGAGTGTAAGGGCCGACAGGGCGCAGCTCTGTGGATCCTTCATAGCACACTGCAGGGCCAGCGCGCGAGCACAGCTAGCCAGCTCCTCCCGCTGTGGGTAGTCAAGACTGAGGCGCAGCATAGTGGCGTGCGATACGGCTGTGGCAGCCACAATGCTGGTAGCCTCGGTGGGGGTGAAGAGTGTGTACCAGCTCTGCAGGATGCTCACCAGGGCCTGCACACCTGTCAGGGAGAGCCTGAGCTCAGCCGTGGCCATCCGGGTCCTGATCCAGGTCTGCCCAGACTACCGTTTGGGGTCAGAACTTGGCCTGCAGAGACGAGTTCTCCCTCCTTCTCGGCAGCCTTGAGATGATCTGAGGCAACCAGGGCAAGGGGAACAACCCAGACGCCCAGACCCTGTTTGGGGTCTCTTCCCATCCCTTCCTTCCCCAGGTGAGAGTGTTGAAGGTTTCTGCAGGTGCTCTAAGCCCCTCACAAGGATGGAGCAACAGAGCCTGTGGTTTGCCTGCCCCAAGGCAGGAGTCGCAGATCTGCCTGGGGGTTCTAGCTGAAGTGGGGCCTCTCAGGGTAGAGTCTTGTGCTGGGACTTTGGGCTCTAGATGGGGTCCCGAGCCTCCAAGTTGTTTGGGGCTTCTCAGAATCATGGACAGGGACTGGGACCAAACCACTGGGCCAACTACCTCCCAAGGCTACACTTGAGTACTTGTGGCTGAAAATTCACTCTCTCAGAATGTCTCTGATCAGAGGGTCAAAGTGCTGCTGACAGCAGGGTATGGTCCAAGCAGTGAGGGCAGAGTTTGGTCAGGCTGAACAGAGGCCATCTTCTCCTACCAGCAGCCTCATCCTTTCCTAGCCATCAGTAATAGGAATATGAGAGCTCTAAATTCGTCATCCTGTCCCAAGAGTAGGGCCTAGGAATCCTTTCCCCTGGGGGTACAGGGAGCTGGGAGACTCACCCACTTCTGTAGCACATGTCACCAACCACCGCACCATCTCCCGGCGCCTCCAGTTAAGAGTTGATAAGGTCATCCTCATCACCTGGGCAAAAAAGCAGCCTTCCCAGTTGGCTAAGCATAATTGCTATAACCTCCCCCTCCCCACTCCCCCTTGCCATTCATTTATGCAACAAGTATTTATTGGTGCCTTAAAAGGCCATCTCTCCCCTGATAACTACAGATGGGTTTGTTTAATTTCTGCCCCACCCCTGCTACCAATCAGATAGAACACTCCTCTGATGACCTGTAATGAATAAAGCCCTTATTACCACACCTTGCTTGACTTGGAGGAATGGGGGTGGGGTAGGGAGAAGATGGGGACCCCGTGGAGCCTAAGGCTACACTGCTTAACTGGCCGTAACTTCAAAACAGAGGCCAATGTTGAGTCCTCACCTGAGTCCTGGCCCATGCCCACTCCAGTCCCCGTGGGATCTTATCTTCTACCAGTTGTCACTAGGCCAGAAGTCTAAAGTGGAGATGGCCTGCTTGTCCTCCATACCTGTAACCCCAGCTCCAGGGCCACGTTGAGCAGGGTGCTGTCTGTACTACTGTCCGTGGGTGTAGCAATCTTGAATGCATCTTGGGCCAGTTTGAAGATGAGGGAGGAAGAATGGATGTGCTTCTGTATTGCTTCCAGGATTGTGCGGAGCCTCAGAGTGTCTCCTACAGGTGCCGAGAGAAGGGGCAGGGACAAGGTCTT